AAAAAAATAAATTGGGAAAGTAAATAGAATATGATGTCAAAATATGAATTAAAAGAAATGTTTGGTAGGAAATGTACCAAAGTGTTTATGTTAATAACAGTTTGGTGGTTGAATAATGTGATCTTTTTCTTTCTTATCCTTTTTTTAAGAGATCTTTTCCCAGATCTCCCAAAAAAATTTAGGAGAAAATTTTGGGATAAAATTTTCCCAAATTTTATCTACAATAAATGCAGGTTAGTTTTATAATTCAGAATATTTTTTTTTCTTTAACACTTGATAGAATACAAAGAATCAGTGAAAACAGTTCTCTAGGGATGACAGAACTATGAAATGAATATGGAAACAGTATTTTCATGGTGTTTAAAGTTGATTTAATAAGGATATTTTTAAAATTTCAGAGATAAAGAAAACATACTCATGTCAATGAAGACTCTAGTTGTGTTCACAACAAAAGGGTAACTTAATTCTATTTGGAAACAAGGGCTCTCTGAAAAAATAACGTATTAACCCCAGAGGCAGAAATGTGATTTAATTAGAGATACATTGGATTTATTTTCAGAATCAGATTTCTTCTTTTTCCCTGCTAATGACCATTAGTCTCTTTACATTTTTAGGCTTATAAATATCATGCTGGCTATTTTTTGATACTTAGTAGGTAATTTTAGATGGCACTGGCCACTACAAATGAATTCCCCATTTAGGCTTAACTCTGAATATGATGGTGGCAAGGGAAATAACCCCCTGTCATGGCCAGACACTGTGCTGGGGCTGCACACGGGGCATAACATTGAGCCCTCACCTCCAAGTTAGGAGGGAGATGCTACTATACCCATTTTACAGATGAGAATGCTGATATTCCCAGGTGACTCTGATAAAACCACACAGGATATGGACCCATTTCTGTGACACTGGAACCCATGCTCTTGTTACTGCAGTATACTCCCCTCAGTTAACAAGCATGTTTTAAAATTTTATACCTAAAATAATTCAGGATACTGAAGTGGAGACAAATTAATTTTTTTTCTCAGTAACAGATTGTTAAAATGCAAATTTTTTCTCAAGTGGCTGACACTGAAATTGGTTGCTGCATTGACAAAGATGGAAAACAGAAAATTGGTGTAGTGGTAAAGAGACCTCAGCAGCTTCTGTTGACCAATATGTAATTGCAAATAAAAGTGCCTTCAGTTCTCACAGAACAACTAGAGGACTCAAAGTGAGGCTGTGACAATGAAAGTCCTTCTCAACCCTTCACACTGGTCACAATGTCTGGGGAGATTGCAAAAGAGACTGATTCTCTGCCTTTTACCCCAAAAGGCTCTGCTTCATCAGGTCTAGAGTGGAGTCAGGAATCTGCATATTCAGCAAGCTTCCAGGTGGTTCAAAGACCAGGCAGTTAAGGAACCCCAGGCTGGACAAGTGTCGGGAGTTATGTCACCTTCCTAAACAATGACAGACAGATCTATGAGTTCCAGGTTCAGGCCGAAATCCTATGTTGTGCCTTAAACATGTCCAAGGGAAGAGACATGACTGTGGGTTTGGCCATGAGAGTGGAGAATGCAGGTGTGAGCCCACTCCCAGGAAATATTCTCAGGCCGGGGGTGCAGGTTTGGGGATATGACCAAGGAATTTGTCCAAGTCATTGAGCAGATGTTCTACTTCTGGAAATTGATCAATTTGAGCAAATTTTAGTTTGTCTTCTGTTTTTACCTATTTGTATATTAATAACATAAAAACAATGTTTAATCTCAAATGGGAAAGCATAAGATTACTCTGAGAAAAAAATCAAACATGCTGGCAAAATGATTTCATAACACTTTGCCAACCAAGAAGAATATCCTTCCTGGATTTATTTCATTCAAAGGACTTTCCAAATTTTTGGAACAGGAAGGATACCACTGGGTAAACTTGGAGAAGTTTGAAGTGTTGGCATGGAATCCAGTGGGGGAATGTGCTTGTTTGGTGTGTGAGGTGTGTGTGGCATGAAGGTTCCAGGCTGATGAGGGTGAGTCCATTGCCCAGAATCAAGAATGACTCAGTAGGGTGTTTGAATGAGCGAGAATTTGTTTCCAAGGAGTCTTTATGACATTTGCCATCCCGGAGAAGGAAACTAAGTGAATAGTGCCTCACTGTTCAGTTTGTTCCACATTGTCCAGGGTGTGTGGCTTGGTGGAAAGCATCGACTTGGAACTTGGAGACTAGGTTTAAGTTGCAGCCTGGCCACTTACCAGGTTTTTGTGCCCTTGAGTAAGACAGGTGACCTCTCTGAGCCTTTAATTCTTCATTTATAAAATATAAATAGTGAATAATTACTCTGTAAAATTCACAGGGCATGTGTGAAACCTCAAATAAAAGGTAGGCACATGTAAGCTTTACAAATGCTATATATATGGCATTTAAAAATAATGACTCATAATAGTGATGATACTTATAACAAGTGTTATTGTGACTATGTCTAGGAGAGCATTAATCTGTCCTTGCCTTCTCTGTGAACCAGAGACTGGAGATAAAAGGTTTTCTCTCTCTCATGAAACAGACCCCAAAGACAGGTTATCATAATCCAAAAAGGAACAGTGGTGGGAGTTGTCTATATATTTTATGGGAGACAGAGTGGTTAACGCAATCAGGAAAGGGTGGGGGAGGTGGTGGGGTTGCCCAGGGGTGCTGTTGTAAAGGGGAGTCTGTCAGATGCCACCGCTCTTATAGGCAGGTGATGCCTTCTGCTACTTCTAGGCAGCAAATAGTCAAGTGATGTGTTGGGCAGACACCAGCTTCAGGGAGAATGAGAAACTTTGGGGAGGAAATAAAGAAGCAGGAGATTTTAAGCAAGGTGCATTTCATGCTGGCACATTGATGGCTTTTGATCTCTTTAAACATATATCGTGTTCACAAGGGGCCAGGTAAAGGAGAGGCTGTGTGATTACCAAATGCAGTCTGTCCCAAAGTGGGCATACCTTACAGGCAATTTTTATAAGTGGGAAGAATGCCAATTTTAAGTAAAACCATGCAGCCCTGTGACCCAATTTCCTAAGGACCTTAGAAATCTTAATAATCAAAAATCACTTGATGGAGGTACTTGCATTTCTGCAAACGATGGCTACTGCAATTAGACGCAGTAGCGTTGGGACGTGATGGTGTGTTGTGTGAGTGTGCGTGTATGTGGGAATGTGCAAGACTGAGGCCCAGGAAAACCACAGTGACCCTGTGTATTTTACATTAGTAGATCCAAGTGATAAGATTGAGTATTTTTAACTTTGAATTTTTTAAAATTTTAGTTTAAAGAAATTTGCACCATAATCCCTGGCTGGTGTGGCTCAGTGAATTGAGTGCTGGTCTGAGAACTGAGACCTCACCAGTTTGATTCCCCAGGTCCACAGTTGGGGGTGAGGGAGAGGCAACAGATCCATGTACCTCTCCTTCTTTCTCACTATCTATTCCTTTCTCTAAAAGTAAATAAATAATATTTAAAAATAATTTGTACCGTGAAACTTAAAGAATGGTAGTGAAAAATTATACAAACATAAGGGAAAATAGAGAAATAGGAAAGTTTGTTTAAGGGCTTTTCTCTTTCCATTTAAATTAATTTTTCACTACCATTCTATCATTAATACTTAACTTATCCCTTCACTGTTTATAAAACCATCATTTAAGATGGCAACATAATATTCGAAGATTTCTACCCTCTCTCCTAAGTCTGTCCTCAATTCTGCAAAGGGAGGAGGTCTGACTGGAAATGTCCCAGGGGTTTATCATCATCTGTTCAGGCTTCCCCCTTCTGGCTCCTCCTGGGAGGTCATCATGCCGTCTTATCTCCTGTGCCAGTTCTATCACCTGTCTTCCTGACCCACTGTTCTCCTACGGGCCACCTGGAGCTGTAGGATCCCGGGATTCAGACAGGCCTGTGTGGCAGTGTGCTGGGGCAGAGGTGAGAAGGACCTTCAGCCCCAAGGCCCCTTCTGGTTCACTCTGTTTCCAGTAACAAAACCATGGCATCAGGCCCCATTTTCTCCTCTCCCTTTACATTCACCTTGGGAGAGTGGTGAGCGGGATCTGGGGCTGGATTCCAAGGAGACTTTTTTCGAAGAGAAAATAGATTCCTAATGTCTGATTTCCAAAAGGATCCTCAGATGTATCAATGGCCAATGTGGAAAATCCTATTTTAGCCTATAGTGAGGATCCAGGACAGGACATGAAGGGAGCCGCAGTCAAAAAAGAAGGTGGGAGGAAAACCTGTCTCTGCTGGACGAAGAGCTAAGCTGTGCATGTGTGTGTTGATTCTTTGTCTCTGACAACATTCCAGGAGTGAGGTGGGGGAATACGAAGCAAGGAGGATGAAGACATATAGGTACAGGGGATTCATGCCTCATGTCTCAGGAAATCAATATCACCACACTGAACTCCACATTTAATATGGTGCTGGAGGAGGATGGTGCCAGACACCTCTGGGTCAGGTGCAGGGAGATATCCAGGGCCTGCGCCTGGGGTAGTCCCTGGTTGTGGAGTGTTGTGGCTTCCAGCGAGCAGGCAGAAGCTTGAAATCTGAACAGGGAGATGGAAGAGGGGCCTTTGTGGCTGATAGCAAATGCAATGAACTGTAGAACACAATAGCAGCAGGAAACAATGAAATATTCCCAGGAGACCAAGACAAATGAACCACACATTAGTGAAGACCAGCAGGAAGCCCAGAGAGGAACATCGACCCACATCAGACTCTGGTGACCCTCAGAGGAAAGCGTGGGGACCAGATGTCCTCACCTTGCTGCTATGACATCATGGACACTTCCTCTTGTGGACAGACATCACCAAGTGAGCTCCTGAACATTTTGGTTCTGCATGTTTAGATCCTACTACACTAATATTATCGGGGCAAATATATCTTTTCTCAAAGTGAATGCTTGGAATGTGACCCCACTCATTCAGATTTATAGATATTGCTATGTTTGTTAAAATGATTGTTACTTTGTTTAGGTGACACTTGATATTTGTTTGAGTGCTTTACTCACCTGATTCTCTTTCAGTGTTATCTGCCCCTGTTCCTTACACCCGATGAAGGTTCTAACACATCTAAAAATCTTCTCATTTTGTTGTACTCTCTGAACAAAGTTGGCTGGAAAGAAGCCAATCCTGTCTTCAATTTTCCCCTGAAAGGAAAATAAGGACATGTACCCATAATTCACTGTAATTATAGCATTGGTTATAATTACAGTAATCAGATGATTGGTTTTAGAGAAAGAGAAAGACTTACTTTCCACCAGTCTTCATTGGAATCTTCTAGAAGAGTAATCATGTCTCCTGGTCTAAAATGGAGAGTGAACAAGTTGAATGAAGAAGCAGAGGGGGATAAAGTGACAAAAATACACTTAAAAGTACGAAGTCACAGTTATTCATTCATACAAAGAATCCTAAAATAAATGGAAAGAAAATTAACACGATTTTTACCAGTTCTACCCACCCATGAAGTAGTTTTGTTAAATACTGAAAGCAAGTGTAATATCTGTGCTATATTAAAAAATAATCTTTAGATTTATTTTTATACAGGGTCTGGCACAAATAATGCTCCCTTTTCATTATGAAATCTTTTATTCAAAAATCATAAGCATGTCGTTCTGTGACATAACAATGTCACACTGAAGCACACCATATGTCATTTTAGGTGAAATGTTACAGTTAAAACCAAAGTTACCACACCCATATTATTACCCTACCAACCACACTCAGGCAGGCACTACATCTGCAGGGTCCTGGGCATAGATCATCATATTTACATTATTAACAAACTCCAAAATGTGGGCATCGGTAAGTTTCAAGGACAGGTCACCCCTCATATTCTGCCCACAGCCCTCCTCTCATGGCCCAGCGGGGGCCACTGTCAGTGGTTTCCAGTGTTTCCTCCATACACTTATGTTTACATGCAGATATGTTTATGTATTTTGATTTTTCTTTAGTTTCCTACTGCATCTAAAATTAGTCATTATCTTTAACATTATCTATATTTTCTCAGTACCTTCTTAAAACCTATTATCCTTTTTTGCTTAGCTCTACTTTCCTGGATTTTTATGTTAGTATAATTTGGAATTTCGCTCTAGACTTGCGTGTGTGTTACATCATTCATGAGGAATTACTTGAGTTTCACTGAAGACTTACATGTTTTTGTTGACATGTTGGTGATCTGCCACTTCTTGTTTGATTTTTACATCTGCATGTGTGTTTGAGGGTGCGGGTGCGAATGTGTGTTTTAATACCTTCTCTACATTGTCATTTCTGCCTCATTTTACTGGGCAACACAAGTCATGAAGCCAGTACAGACTCAAGGGATCCGGTAATAGGCACCACCTCTGTGGTAAGAGAAATTGTGGCAAAGGGTATGAATACAGGTTGGGGTGAAGAATTTGGGCCATTAACGCAATCATACCACCAGAGACACCTCATGCCCTTCAGTGAATTTTCTGTGAGTTCAGAGTCTCTGCGCTGCTACAGCTAAAGTTGTTTTTTTTTTCCTGAGCATTCTTTGGTCTCTGGTCATCTTCATTGTTCTTGACTCAATTTTATTTCCTAGGCTTCCAGGAAACTCCCAAGATTTTGGGGTCTCTCACAGCATTATTTCTCATTTTCTAGTACTGTTGTGGATGTATTCTGTAAAAGGTATATATTTTCTGACATTTTAAGGAATTGTAGAAAGAGGAGAAGTAGATTTGTGTGCTCATTGTGCTCTTCTGATTCAATCTCCTCTGCAGTCATTTTCAATTCTCAGTTAATATCTATCTTCGTAGGGGATTCCAAATATATCAGGCTTGTCACACCTGAAACATTAAACACAACTGGCATTTGGGTATTCCAGCAGTCACAGTTTCATGCTGATGCCACAAAGGAAAGCAAGGTGGCTGAAAATTACTATTTTCCCAGGTGAGGGATTTAATTAAGCAGCAAGGATGAAAGTCGACATAGAAAAATCTTTCTAGCTCTGGCAGATTTTATTTAACCAAATAACCTGAGACACCATGTGTTAATATCAACTACAAAGACTTTGCTGATGGCTTGGCAGAAATTTTATGTAGAATACAAAACTGGAGATTGAGGGAGGCACCTTGTGCTAAGGGTGCAAGAAGATGCTGCCTAAATCCAACCTCTATTTTTCTAGTCTAGATGGGGACTCACTCTTGGCTGTGCCCAGAGGTGAACTGTCCCAGCAGCGTAAATGACCCCTGTTAACTAAGCCACACGTTAGAATAAGGCACTCCCTGGAGTACAAGCTATAATTTTATGGGAAATATCAGACGTACTCCTGATGTTGTGATGTGGATTCTGTCTTTTCCTAAAAATAGAGCACCACCAGAATAAGAAGAATGGCTTGGTGGGTGAGGAGAGTTACATTCATGCAGTTATTCTTTGGGTGTGTTTTTTATCCTCACCTGAGGTCGTGCTTATTGATGTTAGAAAGAGGAGAAGGGAGGGAGAAAGAGATGGAGAGAAATATCAATATGAGAGAGAAACATTGATTGGTTGCCTCCCGTATATACCCTGACCAATGGTAGAACCCGCAACCTAGGTATGTGCTCTGACTAGGGAGTGAGCCTGCAATCTTTTGGCTGTTGGATGATGCTCAACCAGCTAAGCCACACCAGCCAGGGCTATTCTTTTTTTTTTTTTTACCCACTCAGTTAACAAATACTCTGAATGCTGACTCTGAAAGAGCCAGTTTAGTAGACCCTGGTTATGCTCTGGTGAATAAAGTCCCTCCTGGAGCTAATATTCTAATGAGAAGATAGATAATAAGCAAGTAGATAGTAAACACTTCATAAACATATAAATAATAAATATATAATGTGTATATATAATTGCAAATTATCTTAAGGGCAATGAAGGAAATAAAGAGGATGCTGTCATAAAGAATGAGAGCAGACTCCTGATATTAGTCTGTGCTCCAGCCAAACCGTGGAGAAGGCCAATGCCTCTTTTTGCCTACAGCAAGGGGGGGATCTTGCTCTCAAGGGGGGGCAGCCCTTGAATCAAAGATGCAGCTCTCTAACATCGCAGTCAGCAGTGGGAATTGTGCTGCCCCTATACTCCTGCCCGGCATCCCCAACCTGCCTCAGCATGCTCCCTGCTGAGCCTGCATCAGAATCCCTTTCAACACTAGGCTCCAGGTGGTGGACCTGAGTAGGCATGCAAATAAAACCACTCTGTGCAATATAGTGGTTTTAGTTTTTATTTTTCATGTGTCTTGACTCAGTTTTGAAACTATGGGTGTTTCCTTTAAGGAGTTGATTAAGTCAACACTCCAACCACCTCTCTTTGGGCTCTCAAACTCCAGCCACAGTGCACTGCCCCCAGCCCTAATTGCCCAGAGTTGGCAAGGGGTGGGGTGGGGCAGACACCAGACCAGTAGGGACAGCTCTTATGCCTCAGAGTCTGTGAAATTATTCAAATTAGCAAATTCACAGGGAGCCTGGTAAACCTAGATGATCCCAGCAGCTGGCCGTAGCTAAGCTGCCCGGCAGCTCCAGCCTGCTGTTTACCTGAAATCTTAGATGCAGGCCTGTGTGGCCCTGGTGGCAGCCCTGTTCTCCCAGCTGGGAGTTCTCTTCTCAAACCAGGCCTCAACTTAGTTCTCTTCTCCTCCCTGTGTTGTTGGGGTTCTCTGTCCTGCCATCAAAGAACTCAGTCCAAACACTCTGCCCACCTGCTCTACGTAAGGAGAACCTTGCTGTTGTTCCCAGAAGAGTGGAAGTCTCATGTCTAAAGTTCTCCCTGCCCTGGTTAGTCCTAGGAGGGACACTGGCCAGCACATGACTCTCTGCCCCAAATTGTCTCATGCTTTTGTGGTGGACCAAGTCCTATTCCACGGAACAATTCTTCCTTATTTCAGGTTATCATACTCCGAGCATGTTAGAGGAAAATCCGGGTCAGTTCTAACAACCATTCTCTTTCTTTCAGATGACTTGATGTTTCTGATCTACTCTTACGCGTAGATTTTAACTCTGTCTTTATTTCCAGATTCTTGTGGACAAACTTGTCAGGCCCCCAGACATTTAAAGAGGTTACTTTTGCTTAATTTAATCAGAACATCCTACATTTAGATACAAATCCTGACTGTACTATAAGCCAGAAGTGTGTGTGTGTGTGTGTATTTGTGTGCGTGTGTGTGGCATGATACAAGGTATAACACAATTCATAAACAATGAAAGCATCAGTTTACTACTCTGTGCAGATAGATCAGAGCACCATAGCTGGCCTCTTCTTTTTGTTTGCTCAGGAAAATTTTGGGGTGCCCAGAGGAAGAGTTTCAGTTTGGTTATATCATGATTTATAGGAAGCCTCAAAATGATGAGGGAACTGTGAACTGTCAACAAGAGCAGGAATGAGAAAACAAAACCTAACTGTAGGATTATGGTTTGATGGTGAAAAGGACAGAGTTTCTTTGTGAGTGTATCTGTGTGTTCATGTGTATTTGCATGTGAGCTTGATGATTGCCTATCTGGGTTCATTCTCGCAGTCCTTGCTGAGCCCAACCAGCTAGAGGGGAGTCTTCTGCAGGGCGTTATGAAGACCCTGAGGTCTTCTATGGGTGGGAGTTCCTGGAGGGTAGAGGATAACTTACCCTGGAGTGTAAGTTGTCCCACACAGCTTCTCTCTATCCCTCACGTGGAGCACAGATTCCTAAGAGTAGAGTCCCTGACACCCCTGTGTTGAGGACACTGCTCCTCAGAGCCACCATCTCCGCTCTCTGGGACAACCTAAGCCCTCACATCGGCCCTCCTTTGGAAGCATGTGGACAAGGCAGGCTTCTCTGGGCTTTCTCTGCTTTCATAATGTTTTGGATATACTGAATATTTTGGATACGAAGGACATTTGTCTTTCTTTATCCTGCCATCTCTGCCTGTTGCGCTGGAGGAAATAATATGACACGTATTTCTTGAATGCTTATGACAGGTTAGGTCTTGGGCGTGCCCTGAGTGCACGCCCTAAACCTTTCTAGGAGATGAAAGATCTTTCTTAGCATCAGTGTTTTTTGTTTGAATCGGTCAGGTGAAGATAATAATAGTACCTATCTCATCAATATTTTTGAGGACTAAGTGAGATAACACTTGGAAAGCACATTTGGACAAGCCCACAGTAGATGGTGGCTATTATTGTTATTAAGACATAGCCGTTGCTCTTAAGATGTTTGTGATCTTAAAGGGGAAAGCCCTGGGAACTGGTAATTTATAGTCAGTGTGATCACTAAATGAGAAACATGCCAGGGGGCACAGACAAATGGGAAACTGACCCTGTATAAAACCCCCAACATATGTGCCTT